GGACGGGGCAGAGGAGACAGGGGCAGGGGACAGAGAGCGGACAGGGGAGACAGGGAGGGGAAGCAGGGGCAGGAGGCAGGGGAGACAAGGGCAGGGGAGACAGTCAGGGGACAAGGAACGGGGGGGTGCATGGAGCAGGGGCAACAGGGGCAGGTGATAGGGAGGGGAGAGGAGACAAGGAGATGACTGGGGACAAGAGGGGCAGGGGACAGGGAGGGGGCAAGGGAGACAGAGGACAGGGAGGGGCCAGGAGCAGGCCAGGGCATGGAGCTAGAGGTTGGAACTGGGCCAGGGCACGGAGACAATACTGGGGCTTGGGCCAGAGCATGGAGACAGGGACGGGGGAGGGGGGAGGACTGGGCCAGGGCATGGAGACAGGGCCAGAGGCTGGGCAAGGGCACGGGGATAGGGTCTGGGACTAGGTCAGGGCATAGGGACGGGGCAGGGACAAGGCACCAGAGTTTCTTGGAGACTTGGCCAGAGCATGGAGACAGGGATGGTGGCTGGGCCAGGCATAGGGCTCTAGGATTGGGGCTAGGTCAGGGCATGGAGACAGGGCCGGGGGCTGGGCCAGCGTGTGGGGGCTGGGCTAGGGCACAGGGGCAGGGCTGGAGGCTGACATGATGCTGTGGCTGGGCAGCAAGGACCAGGGGGCAGGACGCACCCAGTGAGCACCCTAGGGTGGGAAGCGCCAGTGAGCCCAGGGCCCCGGAGCCGGTGAGTTGCAGTCCCCTCTGAAGCCCTGGGGATGCACTTGGCTGCTTGTTAAATGTTTGCCCTGGGAATCCTCCCCCTCACGTCCTTTTCTCCAGTTAAGGAAGGTTCAGGATGAACTGTGGCCCCATGTGTGTCCGGGGGAATTGTGCCAGCCGTGCTCTCAGCCGCGAGAGAGGCCTTTCTCCAGAGGCCTCTCCCAGGGGACGGGAACCTTTAGCCAGTAGTCGAGCGTGTTAGCCATTCCTGGAATGCAGAGATCCCGACAGTGTTCCATTAGTGTCTCAGAAGACTTCCCAAAGGTCCCTAAAGTGATGAAAGCAGTTGAGCATTTTGACTAAAAGATTGGCGGTTCGAGGCCACCCTAACATACATTGGAAGTGAAGTTTGATAGTATATTTCAGAATGAAATATATTAATATGTATACGTATATTTCATTGGCAATCCGGTGTAGCTGAGTTCTCCCCTGACGCACGTGGGTTGCCAGGAATAGCAGTACTCAGTGATAGCTGTCACCTGGCTGTGTGTGCTCAGTTGTTGGCTGAGTCGTGGGGGGGTGGCTGGATGGTTGATTGGTGGGTGGCTGGATGGGTTACTTGGTGATTTGCTGGGTTGGTTAGTCAGTGGAGGATGGGTTGGTGGGTGG